TGCCCACCCACCCACCCCCCCCCTTCACTTGGGCACTCAGGCACATGCACAAAGTGGTGGGGGAGCACCCGGCCACCCACACCAGCGTGAGCACTCCCCCATCCCTTCACATATGCGCAGGGGCACATTCGCGCATGCACGCAAACCCATCTCTTTGCGCAGGCACTGGGGTGCATGCATGAAGGGGTGGGGAGCGCTCACGCCAGCGCTGGCACATGTACATGTGCGCAAAGCAGCTGCGGGGAGGAGTGTGTGCAGGAGGGGCGGGAGGTCTGTCTTCACGGCCTGGTCCAGCTCAGGCCATGGACCGGCACCGGGCCACGGACCAGGGGTTGACAACCTCTGGGCTAGAGTCACTAAAAGCAATAAAAAAGCATTCTTCACGTGAGTAGCAAAAGACAAACAAAAGACATAGTGGCACAGCTTCGCAATGAAAATGGAAAAATGATAACAGAGGACAAAGAAAAGGCAGAGGTGCTCAATTCCTATTTTAGTTCTGCCTTTTCCCGTAAGACAGACTATGACTATGAACAAATTGGAAGTGCAAGTGAGGGTGGGGGACAGGATTGCAGCTGGAGATAGATAAACAAATAGTTGAGGAATACCTTACCACCTTGAATGAGTTCAAATCTCCAGGACCGGATGAACTGCATCGGAGAGTACTGGAGGAACTGGCTGAAGAACGCTCAGAATCGCTATCCATTATTTTCTTAGGAGCAAGGCAGGGTAAAATATTTTAAATAAATAAATAACTCTGGTGAAGTTCATGGCTGTCAGGAGATTTGAACCTGGATCTTCCAAGCTTTAGTCCACCACGTTAAGCAAATGTTTGTTTTATGTAAAATCAATACATTTCAGAATCAGGTTTATAACATATTTCGTTTTCTCAATACATAACCATCTGCCTTGTACTGCAACATATCAGATTTGACCTTCCCATGTTCATCCAAAATGTATCTTATTTATCTCAACATTGGTACAAATTTTCCTGTTGTTGTTGTTGTTGTTGTTGTTGTTGTTGTTGTTGTTGTTGTTGTTGTTGTTGTTGTTGTTGTTGTTGTTGTTGTTTTTTAGAATTCGGTTTTAATGACTTAGGATATTTGGATAGAAGTATTTTTGAGACAAAAGGCTTGTAGCTTGTTACGGAACAGAACGAGAATCCGATAAGCACCCACCACAACTCTTTTTCCTTTTGCTCTTTCTTTGAGTGACTAGCCAGGGCACTTTGGGAGAGGAAGAAGGTCTCTGAAATCTCCTTCTTTCCCTTTGTCTGATCACCTGACAACTTTCTGAAGTTCTCCAGATTTTATAGATAGAAAGCTAGGTCAGGTTTCAGTACCATAAACCTTTTTTATTTATTTACTGCATTCTTCCGTGTATAAGACACACTCATGTATAAGACACCCCCCACTTTTCTAACCCAAAATTAAGAAATCTAAGTGGGGCTTAGCAAATGTAGGGTAAAAAGGATCAAAGTGCTGCAGGATGGCTTTGATCCCGGCTTTCTCCCTTTGTGCTAAGCCCCGCGTGGCTTAGCAAAAGGAGGGGCAAAGGGATCAAAGCAATTCCACGACTGCACAATCATTTTGATCCCTTTCCCCCTTATACAGCCACGGGATTGCTTTGATCCTTCCCCCTCCTTTTGCTAAGCCCCATGGGACTTAGCAAGCAGAGGGGAAAGCAGGGATCAAAGCAATCCGGCAGCACTTTGATCGCTGCTTTCCTTTTGCAAAGGCTTAGCAAGTGGAGGGGAAAGCAGGGATCAAAGCCCTGCAGGATCACTTTGATCCCTGCTTTCCCCTCCACTTGTTTTTTCTCCTCAGCTTACTTCCTTGTATAAGATGACCCTCAATTTTAGTCTAAAGATTTTAGACAAAAGTATAGTCTTATACACGGAAACATGCGGCATTTAAAAAAACAGGGTAGGAGAGAATCAGTCACTGAAACTACTTAATGCACTAACCTAATTGATCTAACTAGAATTACACAAACTAATTTGGATAGATGTGTTTGTCAGTTGCTTCTGCTATTCCTCAGTTGCTTCTGTTTTCTGCACTCTCCTTTTTTAACGCTTCTTCCTTCCTTAACATGGATGCAACCATCTTACTGGGCAAATGTTCATGCAGACATTCTAATAAATGAATCATTGCCATTTTAAAAAGATACTGAATTATACTGCCCACTTGTGTTACAAATAGATAATTTATGACAATATGTTAGCGCCTATCTATGGTTCACAGAGGTATCCTTTATTTACAGAGAAGAAGCAATGAGCTGGAAAGCTGGGGAATGGGATGGGGATGGAACAAAACCCTAGTGGCTTTGATTTAGTGAACAGATTATCCATTGGTGTGGTGTTGTGTTGTGTCTTCTCCTACAGAGCTCCTGTGAGACCCTGGGCCGTCACTCCGAGGGCACGTACCCCACGGGCCTCCTGCCAAACCACCACCATCGCCACCACTACTCGGCCCAAGGGGTCTTTGAAGATTTTGCTTGCTAGTCCGCCTCGTATGCCACTCCCCTTCCAAAGGACGGCAGCAGTTCTGGAGCAGCCTTGGGCCCACCACGTTCCATCCTGCTGCTAAGAGCTCTTTTCTTCCAAGTCCCAAGGCCAGATCAAGCTACCTTCTCCCATCTTCTAAAGCTCTCCTTTAAAAAAAATAGCAAGCAAAGAAAAAAGAAAGAAAGAAAAGGATTTGAGGCTTTTGGCCTCCTCCTTCCTACAACCCCTTGCCCTATCCGTCTGCCTTCCCCTCCCCCAGTAAGGCTCAGTACCCCACCCCCATATTAAAGCACAGAGAGAGAGAGAAAGAGAGAGAGAGAGAAAGAGCATCAGCTGCCAAGACCGGGGAGGCAGACGAGCCTCTCAGCTGCTCCCACTGTTAGCAAAACAAGCTTCCACGGGGCATCCTGTCCTGATTGTCAAAGTAGGAGGGCAGGCAATGAGGAACATGGAACATGCTAGGGGGCAAGGATACCGTCTCAGAAGGGAGAGAGACAGTCATCTGTAGCACTAGCTGTTGACCCAGCGTGGCTGTGCCTGCCTCTGCCATAAACTCCATAGTGGGTGGTGGCCATGTTCCTTGGAATACCACTCCCTCTGTACAGTCCTCTCCTACATTGCTCTTCCTACTTAGACCTGCCCATTCCAGCCCTCACAAACAGGCATCACACTCCTCACATTGCATCCACATGGAGGCGGCAGGTAGCTCATGTGCCCCACTCACTGGTGTCAGGAGGTGCCCGTTATCCTGTTCTTGCCAGCTTATAGCTGCCCATGTAGAAACTGTGCCCATAGAAAGGGACAAGTTCTTAAATCCTGGCCGTATAAGAGAGATTCAGGATGTGCCCCCTTTATTGTATGGGCCCTGGTCCCTTCTCTCAAACCATGGCTTGCCATTTTCCACCTGTCCTTCCCCACTGTATATTTGCAGATAAATGTTTGGAGCCTGTGGTTTTTAGCCAGAAATTCCGACTCTTATCGCTGCAGCCGCCCCTTGCTGGCTTCATTGAGAACTGCTGGTAAGGCTGGACACTGACAAGACAGATTGACATCAAATCTCAGGTTTTGTTCTGGCCCAGGCATAGAAACAGAGCTAGCAGGAGGTTGCTGCCCACAACAGAGCCCACATTCTTCCCAGATGTACAGCCCCTGTCCTCTGTTCCCCCATCTTCCATTCATCCCCCTCCTCCCGCGTCATTCAGGGTCCGAGCCAAAAGTATCACCGTCCCATGAAAAGAGGTGGAGGTCCCTAAGGGCCCCACACAATCTCAAGGGGAAGACAGGAACTCCCACACTTCCTCAGGATACAGGGCTGTCGATGGAAGCACTTGTAGCAGAATTATCCAGTGCATCCATGTGTGTGTTTGAGGGGGTGGCCATGAATCCTCAAGTGCAGGGCACTGCTTCTCTTAACATGCAAGTGGGGAGATGCCACTCACATTTTGTGGTAAGACCCTGAGTAAAGGTGCAACAGGAAAAAGCCAATCAAACCACCATGTGCTAGCCTTATTGGACAAAACAGCACCCCAGAATGCCAGCTGTAACCCTCAACCCTTTCCTGTAGCAAACCAGGAAAGTCTCAGCGTGCATCGTTAGGACACAACGAACCCACAGGGTATTGTCCCCACACATAAGGAAATGTGCCAGCAAGCACATTTTGGGGAAGAAAGATAGCACTAATTGGAACATGTTGCTGCAAATGCTCCCCATCCCCCACCCCCATGACAACGGTAAACTCTGGTGAAGATCAGTCTAAGCAATCAAGAGCATCTGTTCTGGAAGGAGGAAGAGGTAAAAGACAACATCCACCTGTCTGCTGGAATTGTGTGTGTGCGTCCAGGGGGTGCAGCCCTACAGATGCTGACTTGGACCCAGCCAGGGCTCTTCCAGGGAGGGGCCCATCATCCCATAACTTTACTAAGCGCGAGTCGCTGTTTTACAGATGTACAAGTTTCTCCCAATAAAGAGGCACAAGTAGAACTCCAGATGTGTCTGTTGTGTATTCTGTGCTATCTTGAACTCTTGTTTGTCCTGGCATGTTGCCAGCTGTGCTCAACCGAGGGCTCCAGCCTCAGATACCCTTTGCAGTATTTTCCAAAGAAGCAGCCATGTTAGTCTGTTTCAGCACGTTGGAAAAATCACATGCATCTGAAGAAGGGGATTTTGATCCACAAAAGCCCACACAAATACAATTACTGTAATACAATTAATTATGTCATGTATTATGAGTTTAAAGTGTGTGTATTTATCTCTAGCTTTTTCTTTGTGTTTTTTTTGCATTTACTGTAATAATTATATTAAAATATTTTTAAAAACCCATTCAAAAACAAATTTGATAAAAGTGCCAAAATATTTGTCTTTGGCCCTCCCTTATTTTGCCAACATTTGCAGGATGTGGGTTAAAAACAAAGTGATGGATGAACAGCATTGATTTACCTGTTCAAACAGCCTTTTCCTTAATGTTGACTAATTAGTAATAGTACAGATATATTCAGATTTATGGAGGACGATGCTCAGATGAAAGGCTGCAACTTTCTAGGCTTGAGACCCATTCACTTCTCATTTTTGGAGTAGTAGTTTTAGAAAAGGCAGCTGTGGTAGTCTATATTTGCATATCAAGGAAAAATGAAAGGAAAATAAAAAAATAAAGAAGACAAAAACATTATGATACCTTAAAGACCAACTGCTATATTTTAATGTGAGCTTTCATGGACAAGTCCACTTCCTCAAACATCAGAGTGGGACTACATGGCGAACACTTATACATTTTTAGAGTGGGGGCTTGCAGCCCACTGCTAGCTGATTCCAAGGGCACCTCTGCACTCAAAACATACAGCATTTTGTACCACTTTCTCTATCATAGCATTCACCCAAGGGGATAAAATGCACCCCTACAGGAAACCATTCTGTCTCTCCATATTCTATCCTAAAGGTAGCTTCTTGTCCACAACACAAGTTAAGCATCGGGGCAATCAAGTGCTGAAATACAGCAGTTTCATTCAGAACAACCCATAGTTTCTCATGCTCCACACAGTCAAAAGTTTTGCTGGAGTCTATAAAGCATAGACTGGTTTTCTGAAGTCCTTTGGTGTTCTCCAGTAGCCAACAAATATTTGTAATATGATCCATGCATTCTACTCAGTTATTTAAAAATAGAGAAAAATTCGGGTGGCAAAGGGGGAAAATGCAAGTTTACTGGCCCATATCCTCCCAGAGATGACAGAAATTCTATAAAAGTAATAAAACCACCTTACCCATATTTATCGTATTCATCTGTAAAGTTTGTGGCAAAGCAAGAACATTCATTTTCTAAAAGATACAAGAGGGTGAATACGTTTGAGAGCACAAATGGGCAGCCCTATCCCTGTAACATGCAAGAACCAAATGCATAATTATTTATAGCATAATGGAACAAAAGCTGAGTGCAAGGCAACACTATTAAAATCCTGCTGAAATAGAAGAAATGTTCACATAGGAAACCGGTGTGGATTTGCTGACAGCAGCTATAATCGCAATATCTTGCTCAGTGAAAATAAAAACACCACTGTCTTGGAATGGAACTGTAAAAGCAAGGGCATATACTGTACTGATGAGCAAGGTGTTATGTCAAGAGCAAAAAAAGAAAAGAAAAAAAAAACCAAACCCCCCAAAGCTCAAAACACCAAACTCCAAGAAGGAAGTACTTTTGCCGAATTCTAGATTTCACCCATGTCTCTTACACAGATACACGCTGAACTGAAAGCTCATCCATGAAGATTTTGGAGAACATACTTTCTGCTGCCCTGTTCTGTCTGTAACATTGGGGGGGGGGGCACAACAAACATTATCGGTACCTAACAAGCATGATGATGAACTTTGTTCCTTATTTAAAAATGTACTAACATACACAAATAATAGTAATAAATTTAGTGGATGCCATATATCAAATTACTGTAGATTGGGATAAGCCCTTGATCCAAAATAGAAGCTGCCTGATGACCTTCATCAAAAAAGAGACTTACACATCCTTTTAAAATCTGGATTGCTCCATAAAGATCATTTAGCCTGAGAAAGCAGCTGAGAATTTACAGATGCTATCTCAGTGCAAAATGATGTTAGTAAAGTATTTCTAGAGAAAGATGCAAACAGCCTGTTAAATTAACACAAAGTTGCAAGTTTTGTTAACTGATACTTACGACAAAACCAGTATTTGGAAGCAGTTTAGACAAAAACAAGCAAACGGAAGAAAATAAAAGTTGGGTCCATGAAAATAAAATTATCTATAAAAATAGAGATGTCTGATTTGATGGTGGCTATAATGTGAAAGGTTAAGCCGCAGAAGCCTCTGTGCTGCAAGGTCGGAAGTCCAGCAGTTGTAAGATCAAATCCATGCAATGGGGTGAGCTCCCGTCACTTGTCTCAGCTCCTGCCAACCTAGCAGTTTGAAAGCATGTAAAAATGCAAGTAGGTAAATAGGTACCACCACAGTGGGAAGGTAATGGCGTCCCGTGTCTAGTCGCGCTGGCCACGTGACCACGGAAGCTGTCTTCAGACAAACGCTGGCTCTATGGTTTGGAAACGGGGATGAGCACCATGTCCTAGAGTCAGACACGACTGGACTAAATGTCAAGGGGAACCTTTATCTTTACCTATAATGCGGGGGGGGCATGAAATTAAGAGGATTTTTAAAAATTTTATTTTACTGATCTAACTTTTAGCCAGACAGCAAGAGACTTTCTGCTTGGTTAGAAGCAAGAGTTGACAGGTGCACATTTACTTCACCCAGCAGCAACTTCTCTTTCTAAAGTGCACATTTTCATTTTGAGGGCTCTGTTGTTTTCTCCCTCTCCCATCTTTTTGCAAAAACAAAACAAGTTATGCTTCCCCAACACAAAAACCCGAACTGCACCAAGCAAACATTCAGTCATTTTAATACATTATCCCACAGCTAATAATCTCTAGCAATCCTCCACCCAATATTTGAGTAGCAAACTAGAACACTGTTTCTTTGTACTGTATTACTCCATCATAGGTTTCTCCGGGATGATGCCATTGCCTAGAGTGGTCTTAAGTGACTAGATAGGCGGGATATAAATAAATAAAATAAAAATAAAAATAAAAATAGCATTTCTGCCAGCCTTCCATGGGCTGGTGCAGTTGAAAGAGGCAGAGATAGGGGCAGGAAGACCAGAGGACATGGATTTCCCTTCGGTCTGCCTTTCTGAGGTGTAAGTAACAAGCCATATACACAACATTGCAAGTGTGGCTGCATCCTAAATTCATGTCAAAGCACTACAAGCAATTTTCTTTCCAAGCCCCTTTCCAATGTTTCCTACAGAAATCTGTCATTTTCACAGTAATAACATACTAGACTAGAATTTGCACTGGACGTCAGCATTGCACCCTCTCCTTTCTGGCAGTCACTTTAGGCAGAAGCATTTTCTTTTAAATGTCCCAAATCTCCCAGCAAGTCCAGATGTAGGGCAGGAATGGGGTGGTGGTGGTGTTTCCATCTTAGCACAGGTGAAAGGAGAGATGAAGTTGGCAACTTTGGACTTCTCTATACAGTCTGACAGGAGCAGAGCTAGACAGGGTCAGTAGGAGATCCAGTATGTCATTTGGTGCAATCCTCACCTCCAAATGGTGTATGGACCTAAAGCAACCCTATTTGGTCCGCAACAACCTGCTGTTAATTTGCCAGTATCATGAGGCAGCTTAACAAGACAGCCACTTCAGGATATTGACAAATTAATCACTTCCTCAGTTCCATGGAGGAACCAAGGAAGTAAAAAAATCATTTTTAAGTGTGTATTGGGCAACAAATATGTGCTGTACCACTTGAAAAAATAAAAGACAAATGGAAAGCTTCCTCCTAGAAAACTTTCTTTTGAAGGTCTAGTCAAGAAGCTGCCTGACTGCAGGGAGAATCCATCACCTGCCAGTATCTTTTATACTGATCTTTTATACTGACTGTTAAGGCCTGCTGTACGACCCTAAGAAAGCCCCATTCTGACAACTTGAATGCATTTGGCCGGGTGCTTGCTTCACATATAGATGGTCCTGAACCTTCCATCAATCAATTTCATTGGGCAAGGCCATTACATTTTGATTATAGAGAAAAGGGAGTCCATTTTATCCATTCTCTTGACGTTAGGCAAAGGCTCAAATCTTGACTTTTCCCCCCAATTAATTTCAAAAGGGGCCGTTCACTATCCCCTTGCACAGCGGTCCCCAACCGTTTTGGGACTGGGGACCATTTGGGGGTGCAGGCTCCGTGCATGGACTGCTTGGAGGGGCGGGGGCACCCCCATGCTCATGGATGGGTGTGTCACACTCATGTTTAAGATACAAGGGCGCTTCTGAGGAGACATACCTGCTCAATAAAATGCTATGTACAACAGCTCTGAGTCAAGTTACTTTATTAGACAAGGTAGCTCAGGGCCCTGCTCAGGGAGGGACACAAACCCTATTTTCATTGATAATGATGGGAAGGGTGGGAAGGAATGCATGGTTTGCCAATCATGAGCTATGTGAATGGGATGGCTCATGAGGCTGAGGGGGCTGGGAAGACACTGGCATGGATACAGGCTGGTGTCCTAATCATCAGTCAGGAGGAAGGGAGTGGGCAAGATACAGTATTACTGGGATGGATACAACCTGGCCCCACCAATCATGAGCCAAGAGGCGAGGGTGGGAGGGATTCAACCTGCCCTCCCCAATCATGAACCAGGAGTAAGGGGCAGGTAGATTGACAGTGGTAGGGATTCAAGCTGGCCCTCCAATCATAAGCACAAATTTAGTATTGATGAAGGGACCCAAGCTGCCCAAACATGAGTAAAAACAGAAGGGAGAGTCCAAGTGCAAACTCAACATTACCCAACCAGGAAGGAGAGCAGGAAGATGGACAGTGAAAGGGCCAGGCCTTGAACTGTGTGGAGTTGTGTCAGATGGACAACACTATAAGATCCCTGGAAAGCACAGCCGAAGAATTCTTGCCTGAAGTATA